AGCTCAGGTTGGCGGGGAGTGTAGCCCTGGCTCTCCCCGTCTCCTGCTGCCAGGCTGAGCTGAGCTCTATGGAGCCTGGTGCCGGGCATGGGCTGTGCCCAGCACCAGTCCCAGGCGGCAGTGGCAGCCTCCTGTCATCAGGGGTAGATCCAGGGGCCCGCACCCCCAGGAGGAGTCACAAATTTTGCTTTCAAGACTTTGAGGTGCAGTTTCCAAGAAACCTCTGCACCTCAAAGGTTTATCTCCTTAAAACTTGGCAGGCTTCATGCCCTCAGAAAGGGCTACCATCCCTGCAATTTGCATCTGAATCAGGCAAGAAATAACAACGTTTAGGCATTTTCATGATTCCCCATTATAGCCTATGGGAGAAACGTCAAAACAGTTTCAACGAAATGGGACAGTGCTTTGAAACTGAACGAAACACTGTCCCTTCGAAACAGTGAAATGGACATCGATACGAAACAATGGTGTTTCGCAGAGCCCTTCTGACAGTGCTTTCCAGTCTAAAGGGGCACAATGGAGCTTCTTAACAACTGCTGTTATGAGATCCAAATAGAGTTGAAGTTTATTCTTTAACTGTGTGGTGGAAAATCTTTGTCCTGTTGCTGTTTGCAACTTGTTTCAGAATTAGTGAGATAAGTGACAGTTTCTCCAATTTTGCATGTATGCCTTCTGTACTCTCACGAATAATAGAATACTGGTCTGGAGAAAAAGGATGTTCTGTATTTATAGAAGAGCATTTTTAAACTAGGGAACAAATAAAGCTAGTTACAAGTAATAAGTAATATATCTAGGAAAAAGGATTATGGCACTTACAGATGTTGGCAGTGTCTGAATGGCTTGTTTTACTTGTGGCTGCATTTGCTTCATAGCTTTTAACACATAGCGACCTTAAAGAAAGTGATTATTCGTATGGAACTGGACTAAACCAATATTTTAATGAAAACTTAGAATTTCAGTACAACAGTTTTACTTTTAGATTAGGATGAGTAACAAAACTATTTCTGATCTAAAAGAAAAGAGTTTAACATCTTTCTGTAATCTGTTCCTTTATGTACCCCAAAAAGACTAAAGTACTGTATCAGCTACTAAACTGATATAGTCTATTAAATCCTTGGTTGTCACCTACCATCCCACATTTTAACTGGTAATAAGGATCAAACAGTTACAGTCTATCCTTGAAAAGGACCAGACCTTAAGAGAAATATTCCCAGCCCTCCTTGTCCTGGTCTTCAAACAGCCTCCTAATCTTGCCCAACTCATCAGAACTCCCTGCTGCCCAACAAGCACCTAATGGAACCCAAGCCTGCCTTAATAAAAGAAGACCTCTCAACTCATCTCTACTGTCACAACAATCAATACTCCCCACAACAAAGCCATGGACTGTATGGATCATACGCACATCCTCAAATCTATAATCCACCTGACATTTGCTAATCCAGTGATTCCCAAAGGTTGTGTTGTGACAGGTTTGCCATGAGATCCCCCTGTGTGAGGGGGTAAATGCTCTCCTTCCTGGTACAACACCCTGTGCCTAACCCAGCTACTAGGCCTGTGCGAAGTGGCAAGTATTTGCTTTGGATTCAGAGGGACAGTGATTTGATTTGGAGATTCTAATCGCTTTTCCAATTCGATTTGGCTGAATCGGATTCGAAGATTCGGTGCTGTTTTGGAGACCTGGCCATAGCCTAAACAGGTAGCAGTCCTCAAGATGCTGGACACAGCTGCCTCCTGCTGGTAAGTCTGTTATGGTGGGAGGGAAGGGCTGTTGGGGGAGGAAGGGATTGGAGCTGGGACAACCATGGGATGCGGCAGCGGTGGGAGTAGGGGCTCTGCCCTGCTGCTGCTTGCCGCCTTCTGCCCAGAGCAAGCTGTGCCTATATCGTGCCCCCTCCACCTCAGCTGGGCACGATGCAGGCACAGCTTGCTCTGGGCAGAAGGGGGCAAGCGGCAGGAGGGCAGAGCCCCCCCTCCCACCGCTGCCTTGCCTGGCCTGCATCCCATGACACCTCTCTCCCCCCACCCCAGCTGGGCAGCTTGTCCTAGCCCAAGCCCCCCCGCAACAGAGTTAGTCACCAGCTGGAGGCAGCCCTGTCCAGCGTGGTGAGGACTGCTGCCTATTTAGTTTATGGCCAAATCTTTTTCAAATGGATTTGGAGGCTTTTGATTTGATTCAGACCTTTTAATTGGTCTCCCGATGCGATTCGGAGATTCGGCCACCAAATTGGGCCGAATCTCCTGCAAATCGAATCGGTTACCAAAGCTTTGCACATTCCTACCAGCTACTGCAGGGCAGCTTCTCAGCAGACTGCAGCTTTCCTCTGCCCCCAGGCAGCTCCTGTGACCTCCCACCCTCACAATCCCAGCAGCATACTCTGCTACTACAAAGGGGCAGATGCACAGACAGAGCCACGCTTTGCAGCCTGGTTTATCCCTTCCACACCTCCCATGTTCTCAGGACTGGCAGAAGGGCCGTAGGGGTGGTTGCCGTTGCGCGAGGCCCTGCAGCATGAGATACAGGCCAGGGGTCAGCAGGGGACAGACAATGGAAGGAGCAGTATGGGAGGGTAGGGTCCTGCCCCCTCTGCCCTTAAATTGGACCACTGATCACCCTCTCCAGATTTTTTTCTGAATTTAGATCTAGCTTGGTGATTTTCAGTCAGGGTGCTATGACATTCAAAGGAGTTATGGAGGGGGGTGTGATGACTAAAAAGGTTGAGAACAACTGGTATAGGAGTTCTAATCCTTTCCTTAAAGGTGCATTTGGTGTAATTTTGTAACAGTACATTTCAGCACCAAAATGACTTCCTCTGGCAGAGGAATGGAGTAGGTAATGTGTTTTGGAAAAAAAGTTATTACACCCCCACCCCCTTTCTGGTTGTACGAGTGAAGGCATGCTGGTTTTGATTTAGACGAAAAGTGCACCCCAGGTATCAGAAGTTTGGGAAACACTGTGCTAATGTCTGTATTTCACAAATGAAAATGACCCTCCTGAATGATCCAGATCTTCCACTATCAGGTTTTTGCTGCAGCTGTCTTGTCTACTGGCCACCTGATAAATTTCTCTTATATCATGTTTTTTGCATAAAATTCAGTGTGTGTGTGTGTGTGTGTGTGTGTGTGTGTGTGTGTGTGTGTCACACACACACACACACACACACTGAATTTTATGCAAGTTTTTTTCCACCCCCATCTGCTACTTGGCTCTACTATGCCTACTTCTCTCCCAGGGACCTGAGGAAGGATACTGTGATACCCAAAAGCTTGTCTATCCCAGCCATGCAGTTTGTCCAATAATAAATATTAACCCCCACAAAGATTCATGCTGCTTACGTATTTTACAATTAATCATTATTGAAGCAAACTATGAAAAGTACAATCCAATATTAGCACTCTGACTAGACACAAACCTGTATATCCAACAGCAGCTATTGTCAGGCCAACTGCTATCATAGTAGCCTGGGTCAGGGGGGAAAAAGTAGTCATCAGAAATGGGAAAAAAATGGTAGTGTCCAAAATTAAACTAATTAAAACATAGTAAATTAAAATGGATTTAAGCCTCACTTACATTTCAATATTGTGGTCTGTGCTGTTTACTTGAATATTAATGGAAACATGAAGCAATAGTTTATAAAGCCTCTCTTCCTGCATTTCAAACTACAGACAGAACAATTGCTGTTAACCTTGGGTACAAAAATCTTCAGGAAATTCTCCCTGTCTATAGAAATACACACTGCACTAACACATTAATGCACTTTGGCTGACTTTTTATGTTATTGGAGCATTAGAAAAAAAAATTATTAGAAATAAAACCTCTCTACCCCCACCTACTTTACATAATTTGTTTTATAGCTGTATTGATATTTTGCATACATTTAACTGTTCACTGCTTCAAAGCTTTTTATAGCTTTACGTTGCATGCAGCCAGAGCAGAGCACTTCTGGATCCTATTTCCATTTCTCTCTCAGATTTACTGTGTCACTTCAGGCGAGGCATTTAAATCTTGTTTGCTTAAAATCTCCCATTTCTAATACAGGTGATATTTTATCTTCTTCACAAGCACTTTTGGGCTTTTCATAAACACTGACTGAAACATGTTATATGTTTCACAGATGCTACCAAGAACCGAATGTAACAGTTTAGTCTTGATTAGCCAATCCTCATCCCAGATATTCAGTAACCTTGAATAATGCAGTTTTTGGGGAACTGAACAACCAATAGGTGAAGATGCGTGACAAGGAAAGCCCATGTGCCTGGGGAGGCTCAACAGGGACGTGCCCACGAAAACTGCCCTTTTGCACGTATAGAAAAAGCAGGGCTGGCATCAAAGGGAAGGACCGGCCTGGCGTCCTTCGCAGCCCCTCGCAAGGTGACCTCCTGGCGCGAGGCAGCATCAGCCCTGACCAAGCCGTCCCGGCCCCGCGCCCCTCCAGCCTGCTCTTGGACGTTTCCAAGGACAGAAATTCAACCCCCCTTTTCTAAACAATGCAGGATCAGCCTCGCAGCCAGACATGTCCTCCTCGTCTCCGACCTCCATCTCCCCTGCTGCAGTTTGGGGACAACTCTTCCTCGTCCTGCTCGCCACCAAAGCCCAACTCCACCCTCTCTCTCCTTTCCTGGCAGGGATTTAACCCCCCCGCCCCCATCACTCTGCTCTTCTCCACACTCAGTCGTGTACATCCTGCTTCCCAGGCCCCTAATCGCTGCTGCCCCGCGCTGGAGGCTCCCCAGTTGGTGCACATCCCCCCCAGGGGCCGCCCCGGCCAGGGCAGGGCAGGGCAGGGCTGAGCTCCGCGGGGCTGCACGCGGCCCCCGGCCGGGCCGCACTCACCATCGCTGCTCGCTGCGCGGCCTGTCGCAAAGTGCGCGCCGAGTGTCGTAAAAGGGCCCCGCCCCCCCGTCAGGGGAGCGCAGCCCGCGTGGCGAGTCGCGCGCATGGGCGGCCGCGTCTGTCTGCGCCGTGCGCGCCTGCGCTTAGGACCCCGCCCCACCGTTGCCTGGCGTCAAAGCGAAGCCGACGGGGTGCTTTACACAAGAGACGCCAGTGGCAATTAACGCGGGTTGGTTAGTTCTACTCCAGTGTGTTTAATGAGGACCCGACACAGGTGCATTCATGAGGGCAGCAGGCTCGCCCCGCGGGGCAGTTGCACCACAGGGCTGGTTTTCACCTTGGGGCCTGTTTCCCTCCAAGTCGGACCTGGGACAGCCCGGCCTGGCTGGGAGCGGGGCGGGGGGGCAATGCCCTCGTCATCGCTACGGAGAGTCGCCGGCTGCCCCAGGACGCGGGCACGGCACCGCCCCGAGCTGGGCCAAAAACAAACATCTGCGCCCTGAACCGGCTTCAGAGTTCAGTTTGTGCCCTGAACTGGGTAAAACATGAGTTTGTACCCTGACCTGGGCACAAAGTTCGCTTTATACCCCAAACCAGGGGAAAACCCCAAATTTTGTAACCCGAGCCAGGCAAAACCACAAAATGTTGTAACCGGAGCCGGGCAAAAAAACTAAAGTTTGTACCTTGAACCGGGTACAACGTTCAGTTTGCACCTTGAACCAGGTAAAAAAACAAGTTTGTACCCTGAACCGGGCAAAAAACAAAAGTTCAGTCTACTTCCTATGAAGGTTTAAAACAAGTGTATTTGCCTTGGTCCCTTTTACATCTTGTTTTAATAAACTCAAAATGACTGTCTTGGCAAGCGTTTGCAGAACAGGGCCGAGTGCTGTGTGTAGACTGGCTCAACTAACTATGCGAGGCTACACGAGGCTTCCTGAATTTTAGCCCCCAATTGCAAGTCACTGTAACTAAGGTGTGGAGGGAAAGCGGGGGAAACTAGAGCCTGTTAATCCAGTCTTACTATTGCTGAAGTCAATGTGAGATTTGTTGAAGAGGCCAAAAAGATTGAAACATAGTCTACCCACATCACACCTAGAGTGATGCAATATTAACATGTGCATGGGAAGAGAGTGATAAAAGATTTATTTCTGCTGAAAAAGGCTATTATGTTTGAGCACACTTGCAAAAAACTGGTTTAGCTGGCACGGTGCTGTCCATTTTTGGTCCCTGTCGACCAGGGCAAATCAGATTCAGCATGTCAGCTTGTCATAATTGAAACCTCAGTACTTCCTTTGTATGGCACACTGACAAATACAGTTTATATTGTATATTTATTATCTAAATACTCTGATAAGTACAGCCATAGACCAGAAAGGCATAGTAACCGTGAGGTCATTTAACACGCTTTTCAGTGAAAGCTTGTACTGTACAACTAGCAGCAGAGGTGGGGACTATTTTCAGGCTTTTTGAAGCTGCAGCGAACTGGGGATTCTTTGAATGCAGAATAACACTGCTTCAGGAATACTGGAGAAATTATATTCCCTCAGCCTGTAATCCCGAATTGGCTCTGGAGTGCTGTGGACTTCATGGACTCAGTCTAACTCTTAGTTGACATGTCTGCATTGCAAAATTCATTGATGCAATTGGCACTGCTTGGCACTCTCTTGTTTGCAGTTTTAGCAGACCAACAGTTGAAAGGATTGGAGGCTGATCTAAATTCAGAATAAGAAAAGCAATCTCCACAGGTGTAATTTGAACCACATTAGCATGGTAGTATGAAAATGTCTGACTAAATAGATTACTACAGCCTTGATCTTTGCTTTTCTCCAATATCGAATTCGCTTTTCATAAAACAATTTCCCCTCTTCCTCCTGTTAATAGTGTTCTCTGTTCCTCTTCTCTCATGTTTGCTCTCTTTTCCCTGTCATGCCTATTCTTTGCCCTTTCTGGTTTCTTTTATTTCTGGTAATTCTCTCTTTCTGTCTGCGAGCTTCCCATTTTTCGACAAGCTTTTCTCTTGCCTGTCTTTTTGTTCCAGATACATTATCACTGAATTCTCCGAATTTATTCTCTAATGGAGACCTCCCTGCTGGGCTGTCAGCAAACAAGACTGACCACTAGTGCACTCTGTATAAATTTAATATCAAGTGCTGGTTCCAGATGGACAAGCTCAGTTATTTGATTGCTGGAGATTACCACAAAATGAGAGAGAATTATAGGTCTGGTACTTGTGTGTGAATATTATTAATAATACAGTGTCATCTATTAATAATATAGTGTCATATGCACAAAGCAATATGAATTCTATTAGGAAGTCATGATTTTGGAAACTGGGTGGCTCAGTGTTGTCATTGTCACCAATCCCTCTATTTGAGGACGATCTCTACCACGGCTCAGTGATGGGTCTTGAGGTGACTTAAGAGTCCAATTCTTGAGCCACAGACAAGACCACAGAAGTTGCAGGTCTTTCTGCTGGGAAGACTAGGCCATTGCCTAGGATTTCTCTCCTTTCCCTTCCTCTGTTCTCTTTTCTCTGCTTTGAAGACAAGACACTTTTCCTTGAAACAGGCTGCCACTTGGTTGTGGTTGCAGAGTCATTGGAGTCGGTTGATAGCCAGGTCCTCCCAGCTCGTGATGTCGGCACCCGTTTTCTTGAGGTATACCTTCAAATGTGTCCTTGTAGCATTTCCTCTGGCCACCGTGGGATCGCAGGCTGTTACTAAGCTAGGAGTAGAGCACCTGTTTTGGGAGTTGAGAATCAGGCATCCGCAAACAATGTCTGGTCCAGTGAAGTTGGTGCTTGAGAATCACTGATTCAATGCTGGAAACATTGGCTTCAGCAGGGATGCTGGCATTTGTGCAGTGATCTTCCCATTTGATGTGGAGGATTTTCTGGAGGCATCGGCAGTGATACCTCTCCAGGCTCGTGACATGATGATGGTAGGTTACCCACCTTTCTGTAGATGACAGTGGGGATGATGACTGCATTGTAGACCTGGGTCTTGGTGTCTTTCTGGCGATCACAATGAATAAAGACACACCAAAGCAATTTCCCAAAGGAAGCACTTGCACACTGGATCCTCTGCTGGATCTCCACATCAGTGTTTACTCTTTGAGAGAGGTTCCTACTGAGGTAGAGAAGTGCTCGACTACCTCCAAGGTCTTTCTCTTGATGGTAATTTGGGGATCATGGTTACATTCATGGCCTGGGGCAGGCAGAAAGAGCACTTCAGTCTTCTTGATGTTGAGAGAGAGGCCCAACGTTTAGTAGGCTTCTCTGAAAAGTTCCAGCGCAGTCTGGAGGTTTTCTTCACTGTGTGCAAGGATGGGATAGTTGTCAGCAAATTGAAGGTCAAAGATGGTTGTTTTGAGTACTTTGGTCTTCTACCAAAAAGATCCCAGATCGAAGAGGCCTCCATCCTGTGTCAATTCCAGAAGGAAATTGATCCTTACATGAGAACCATAATGACTGTCAAATCAGTGGAGGACAGAGTTGGGACAATGGCACATCCTTGTTTGACCCCGGTTCGGATGACAAATGGATCCGTCTCTGACCTGCAACATAGGACCGTTGCAGTCATCTGGTCATGAAGAAGCCTTAGGACCTTGATGTACTTTTTAGGACATCCAAATCTGTCGGCTACTTTCCACAAAGCTCAGAGTATTGGCAATGGATAGAGCTTTCAGCTCTAGGTTACTTCTTCAAATCCATCCTAAGTTATGAGGTCTAAATACTGCTGACTTATGGCTATTTGGCTATAAAAATAAGTTGCTTCTGTCAATGTAGTTAGTTTACAGGGAGCACCATTTCTGGCATTCCCATGATCCAGAGACAGAATAAGCATAAAGACTGAATTACTTTTTACTGCTTAAGTCCCTAATCCTGCAGGCTCCTCCGTACAGTGAAGTCTGATGCATCATATTTCTACAGCGAATGCTGAGTCGTATTGGTAGACAAGGTTTGTGCAAAACCAGTTTCCATTGCTGTGCTGCCATATCCTTTGGATTAATTTTAAGGTCACTTAAAACATTTCAGAGTGTCTTGGGAGGTGGAGGGGGGTTGTTTTTTGGCCCAATACTTGATAAACAAGCTAATATTTTTGGGGAACTTTTTAGTTTTCTCTATTTTAAATAGCCTGGTACATTTTTCAACCAAGTAAAAAAAGTGCTCAAATCTTTAAGATGCTTGTAATTGGGTATATCTACACCCTGATTACATGGATGGTGAAACTTTTGAACCCCTTCATTACATTTAGCAGAAAAACACAGCCCATGGGATCTTACTTTACTTTCTCATGTCCATGTGACAAGATATTTAGTAGAATTTGCAGATTTATTGGACTCTGACATAGCCACACCATGAGCACTTCTGCTATGGCCTCAAACTCAACTTCTGGCCTTTCAGGCATTCGCCCCAGTATCCATGCCACTGGAGCAGGGTTATAGGAACAGATACAGAGGAAAGGATTGGCAGTTGAAATATAGAGCTGGCAGCTGGGCCTCATCAACTCAAGAAACCATGCAAAACTGTAAGAACAGAGCTTCTTCCCCTGACCCACATTGCCCAGAAGCCTGTAGAAGGGAATGTAGATTTTTCTGTCACTTTTCCTCCCAGTATGTGAGGGCTGGATGAGGTTACCAGCTATGTCTTAGGCAAATCTTTTTATTTGCTTTAGTTAGACCACCCTAATAACAAGGAGGATGGAAAATAAAATCTTTATTCTACAATTGAGACTGCAGAGCCCTTCACACCAATACATTAATTTATTGAGTTCAGGTTTTAATATCTCTTAAGAAAAAAAAGAAAGTCTGAAGTGCAGTTATGGGGAAGGTCATTTATTTCCCTCCTCTCCGCACCAATCCCAACTGAAATGGATTGATGAAAAATAGGTGGAGCAGTTGCCATTCACTAGTGACGTTCTGCATTCATTTGTGTCACTGTGACATGATTTTAAAAAAATCAGATTTATAATGATTTGTAGTTTCTAGGTATTGTTTTAAATATTTAAAGGAAAAAGATATACTGTGATGATGGGGCATGCAAACTACCATCTGGGTAAGGAGAGAGTTGATAGTTTACTGGTGCCTAATCAACCCTGTCCTGTGACAGCTGTGCTAGGTGGTAAGCTTTGGGGAAAGCACTAGAAAGCCAGAGCCCTGGGCATGGGAGGTTAGTTGAGAGGGGAGTAGGGCTGAGGTTTGGCTGAGGGAGAACAAGTTGGTTGGGAG